CAAATAAATGATCTATAGACCTGAGTCTTTTCTCTTTTGGATCACCTTCACTTTGTTGACTCATATTCTTATATTCTACTAAGACAGTGGTTCTCAACCTGTGGGTCCAGTTGTTTTGGCCTACAACTCCCAGAGTTCCAGCCAGTTTACTAGCTGTTAGGATTTCTGAGAGTTGAAGGCCAAAACATCTGGGTATCCACAGCTTGAAAACCACTGTACTAAGACTCCTAGATCCCTTTCCCATGCACTGTTTTCAAGCCAGGTATCTCTCATCCTATATGTGTATATTTCATTTTTTTTTTTGCCTAGGTGTCATAGTACCCATTTTTTGTTGAAATTATTTTTTTAAATTTTGCCTCAGGCAAAGGCGAACTGTAGCATCTTTCACCAGCTTATGTGTTATTCTTCACTAATACTCTCAGTCCCACCCTGTCTCAAGTATGGCTGGTGGGAACGAGAGAGAGGGCTTACTCCATGATCACCTCCCACCTCTGGAACACTCTCCCTTCTATATATATAAAAAGGGAAAGGGCCTTCAACAGGACAGCAAAACGCGAAAAAACCCCGGCGAAAACTCACCAAATTTGCCGTGCACATACCTCAACCCACAAGGTATGCACAACACTCACCAAAATTCCAAACAACATTTCAACAAACTCACAATTACAAAAACCAACTGAGCATGCGCAGTGCCCAGGGGAGGAAGTACACACGCAATGCACTCTGGGAACTGGGAGTTGGAGCTCGGCCAGCAGTGCTCGCTGGGGGCCAGGATGCTGCGCGACCTGTGGAGGCTGCCCGGGAGGCCCCCGCTGCGCACTTTCCTGGCCCGGCCGGGAGAGGCCGCGGCCCAGCTCTGCCGAGGACAGCCCATCGACCACCGCAACGCCCAGCCCAGGCCGCCCCCGCACACCGCCGTCTGGCTCCGCCATCGGTGAGGAAGGGGAAGGAGGGAAGGAAGTGGGAGAGGGAAGGAAGGATGGAAATGAGGGGAAGGGGTGTAAATAGCAAGGAAGGAAGGAGGAAAGAAGGAAAGAAGGAAAGAAAGAAAGAAAGGGAAGGGAGGGAGGAAGGGAAGGAAGAAGAAAGGGAAGGGAAGGTGTATGAAGGAAGTAATGAAGGAGAAGTTGAGAAGGTATATGAAAGAAGAAAGGAAGAAAAGAAAGAAGAAAGGGAGAGAAGGAGGATGGGAAAGAAGGGAGAAAGGAAGGAAGGAAGGAAGGAAGGAAGGAAGGAAGAAGAAAGGAGGGAAGGGAAGGTGTATGAAGGAAGTAAGGAAGGAGAAGTTGAGAAGGTATATGAAAGAAGAAAGGAAGGAAAGAAAGAAGAAAGGGAGAGAAGGAGGATGGGAAAGAACGGAGAAAGGAAGGAAGGAAGGAAGGGAGGGAAGGTGTATGAAGGAAGGAAGGAGAAGTTGAGAAGGTATATGAAAGAAGAAAGGTAGGAAAGAAAGAATAAAGAGAGAGAAGGAGGATGGGAAAGAAGGGAGAAAGGAAGGAAGGAGGAAAGGAAAGAAAGGTAGAAAAAAAGAAGGGAAGGGGAAGGGAAGGTGTCAAAAGGAAGGAAGGAAGGAAGGAAGGAAGGAAGGAAGGAAGAAAGGAAGGGGAATTTGGGAAGGAAGAAGAGAAAGGGAGGGAAGAAAAGAAAGAAAGAAAAGGAAGTCTGGAAGTCAAGAGCGAAGGAAGGAAGGAAAGAGATAGAGAGGGAAGAAAGGAGAGAAAGAGGAAGGAAAAAAGGGAGGAGGAAGGAAAGAGGAAGAGAAGGAAGGAGGAGAGAAGGAAAGAAAAAAGGGAAGGGAGGAAAGACGGAGCAAAGGAAGAAGAGAAAGAAGGAGAGAAAGAGGGAGGGAAGGAAAGAAATAAAGAGAAGGAAGGATGGGAGCAAAAAGCTAAGGAAGGAAGTAAACAGGTAGAGAAGGAAGAAAGGAAAAAAGAAAAGGAAATGAAGGAAGGAGTGAAAGAAGGAGAGAAAGAGGGAGAGAAGGTTGGCCACAGCAACGCGTGGCGGGTAAAGCTAGTAAGAGATAAAAATGGTCCCTTCCCTCCTCTCCATCAAAAAAATATATTAAAAAACCCACTTGTGCTCACTAGCATATGGAGAGGAGGAGGACTAGAGAATGACAGTCTGCTAAAATACCTCCGACCGGATATTATCACTACACTCTGGCCCTAGCAAGTCAGTTGGCACCATGGACATTATTGAATTATAGTAAATTTTAAATCTTTTAATGAACACTTGGGAGCCCTGTTAATTGAGGTTCATGTTTTTATGGTTAGGTATAATTTTATGGTTTACTTTTTGTGCCATTTTAAGTCTTATGTTATAATTAGTTGTTTGATGTCAATTTGCTGTGGGATTGGGTGGGCCGTTAATGCATTCGTGTTTATACCTGTCTTGAGGCATTGAATGTTTGCCTCTGTGTTTTTTGTTGTTGGAATCCACCCTGAGTCCCCTAAGGAAGATAGGGCAGAATACAAATAAATTATTGTAGGTTGTTGTAGGTTTTTTCGGGCTATATGGCCATGGTCTAGAGGCATTTTCTCCTGACGTTTCGCCTGCATCTATGGCAAGCATCCTCAGACGTAGTGAGGTCTGTTGGAACTAGGAAAAAGGGTTTATATATCTGTGGAATGACCAGGGTGGGACAAAGGACTCTTGTCTGCTGGAGCTAGGTGTGAATGTTTCAACTGACCACCTTGATTAGCATATAATGGCCTGACAGTGCCTGGAACAAACTTTTGTTGAGAGGTGATTAGATGTCCTTGTTTGTTTCCTCTCTGTTGTGCTGTTGTAATTTTAGAGTTTTTTAATACTGGTAGCCAGATTTTGTTCATTTTCATGGTTTCCTCCTGTCTGTTGAAATTGTCCACATGCTGATGAGGAAACACAACATACAAACTATCTACAGACCAACCAAGAAAATCCAACAAATGCTACGTTCAGCAAAGGACAAAAGGCACTGTCAGGCTCCAGGCACTGTCAGGCCATTATATGCTAATCAAGGTGGTCAGTTGAAACATTCACACCTAGCTCCAGCAGACAAGAGTCTTCTGTCCCACCCTGGTCATTCCACAGATATATAAACCCTTTTTCCTAGTTCCAACAGACCTCACTATCTCTGGGGATGCTTGCCATAGATGCAGGCGAAACGTCAGGAGAGAATGCCTCTAAACCATGGCCATATAGCCTGAAAAAAACCTACAACAACCCAGTGATTCTTGCCATGAAAGCCTTCGACAATACATTATCATCATCATCATCATTATTCACATCTTCACCACTCTGTGATGCTGCTTGGCCACACACCTAAACGGTTCAGCCTGAGACTATTTGAGAAACTGCATTTCTGTATACAAACTAGCATGAGTACTGTTGTGGTTCAATCTGTGATTGTACCAGTCTGAGGTTTCACAGAGGACGTTGTGCCAGCATCTGAGAACTCACAGGAGTCTGGTTCTGTTCCTGATGGGGCTGAGATTCTGGGATTGCTAGGCCAGCAATGGATTTGCAGTTGGAGACAGATTCAGAGGCTGACAGGCCTGAGTTAGATTTCTCAAGAGAACCAAGATCAGTCTCTGATCAGAACGTGGTAATTGCAGATGTGTCTCCTGACTCCCCTGTTTCTCCTGAGTTAGATAGAAGAAGAGCAATTTGTCAACAAAGACAAGCAGCTGAAGGAAGGCGGTGCTCTCAGTGCTTGTTAATGAGAAGGGGCCCTTCAGAGAGTTTCCAAGGGAAGTGCCATAATTTCTTAAGTACAAATGAGGTTTGATTTGGGTTATTACTTAGAGGAGTCAATGTCTGGGTTCAAGTTAAGTGCTTCAAGTTTCTCTATCAAGTTTTCTCATGAGTATGGGGTTCATAGGAGCCCCCGGTGGCGCAGTGGGTTAAAGCACTGAGCTGCTGAGCTTGTTGATCGAAAGGTCACAGGTTCGATTCCGGGGAGCGGCATGAGCTTCCGCTGTCAGCCCTAGCTTCTGCCAACCTAGCAGTTCGAAAACATGCAAATGTGAGTAGATCAATAGGTACCGCTCCGGTGGGAAGGTAACGGCGCTCCATGCAGTCATGCCGGCCACATGACCTTGGAGGTGTCTATGGACAACGCTGGCTCTTCGGCTTAGAAATGGAGATGAGCACCACACCCCAGAGTTAGACATGACTGGACTTAATGTCAGGGGACTACCTTTACCTTTTATGGGGTTCATGGACTCAAGTCTTGGGTTTTCCCATGTGCAGCTTCATGGACTCATGTTTTAAGTATCAAGTGATTTCATGGTCTCCTGTATTACTCCAAGTATCAAGTGGTTTCCTGGTCTTAGTATTTTTGGTTTCATGTTATAGAGCTTGTGTTTTGTTTTGTGACAGACTCCAGTTTAAAGATCTTGCCTGTTTCCTGGACTTATGGATGATTTCTTTCAAGTTTCTTCAAGTGCCTTGTTTTACATGGATTATATTTTGCATTGACTTTGATCTTTTAACTATTTTTTTTTTGCTGAAGCTACACTTATTCCTCAATAAACTGCTTTGCTTATAAACTGAGTTCTGGAGTGTGGGATAGGTTTAAAGGTGCCTTTCCAGCCCTGGTATGTAACAAGTACTGCCATCTACAGAGGGGGCCCTGCTCTCGGTCTCACCCCCGTCTGAAGCACAGTTGATGAGCACCACCCCCTAGAGTCGAGCAAGACTGGACTTAATGTCAAGGGGAAACCTTTACCTTTACTTTACGAACATGTTGACTGATAATTATTTTTATGGAAGGAAGTAGGAAAGGCTTTGAGCAGAGGAAACACTGTGTCCATCAACCAACTTTATTGATTCTTTCAAGCCAAACTCTAGCAAACAGTACAGTTTGAAAGCCGTAACACTTCATACAAAAAGCGAAACATGGATGTAAAACATAGGGCCATACCACTGTACAGCTGCATTCCATATAACTAATGTGATATTAGATATTTGGAGGGTCAATGGAATATGTTTAAGCTTAAGCTATTTTTTTGGGGGGAAGAAAAAAACAACAAGCCCCAGTCTCAAACAATGTGAATTAAAAAGATATCAAAATGCAAAATGTGCATGTCATGCAAGAAGTTTCTATACAAAGTTATTTCCCATATTCTTTCTTTGCCAAGACAAGAATTTGCCTGTTAGAGACAAAAATGGTTTCCCTTTCTTCATCTTCTTGAATTATTCAATGCTAAGAAACCTTGGGAGTTGGCAGAGAAGGCTAAAAACCCATTTCCTTCCCAGCACTGAAACAGAAAGGGTGATGGTGAAAAAATTGTGTGGACAACAGATTGGGCTAAATTGCACTGATCCAGCAGTTCCAATGGCCAGGATGCTCTAGGATACTCTGGAATTTCCTACAAATTCCAGAATACCTTCTTCATAATTTGAGTTAAAGGATACAAGGGCCCCATGCAACCTGAAGACTGCCAGTGCTGGATTCAAAATATTGTTTTTTAAATTTTGTAGACGTGTCCCATAGCAGTTAAAGGGAAAGCATAATGCCGCTATTGTGTAATGTGAATAAGCCCCCAGAAATGCTTCCCACATATTTCAGGAAACACACAGTGAGCACATGCCATGTGTATGATTCTCATCCTCTTGGTGGGAGATAGAACAGTGTTTCTCAACCTGGAGGTCAGGACCCCTGGGGAGGGTCGTGAGGGAGTGTCAGAGGGGTCGCCAAAGACCATCAGAAAACACATTATTTTCTGTTGGTCATGGAGGTTCTGTGTGGGAAGTTTGGCCCAACTCTATAGTTTGTGGGGTTCAAAATGCTCTTTGGTTGTAGGTGAACTATAAATCCCAGCAACTACAACTCCGAAATGTCAAGGTCTACTTTCGCCCAAACTCAACCAGGGTTCACATTTGGGCATATTGAGTATTTGTGCCAAGTTTGGTCCAGATCCATCATTGTTTGAGTCCATAGTGCTCTCTGGATGTAAGTGAACTACAACTCCCAAACCCAAGGTCAATGCTTACCAAACCCTTTCAGTATTTTCTGTAAGTCATGGGAGTTCTGTGTGCCAAGTTTGGTAAATAGTAGGCTGGGCTGTTTACCTGTTACCCTTTCAGTATTTTCTGTAAGTCATGGGAGTTCTGTGTGCCAAGTTTCAACATTGGTAGAGTTCAGAATGCTCTTTGATTTTAGGTTAGCTATAAATCCCAGCAACTACAACTCTCAAATGACAAAATCAACCCCGCCCCCAACCCAACAATATTCAAATTTGGGCATAACAGGTTTGTGCCCAATTTGGTCCAGTGAATGAAAATATATCCTGCATATCAGATATTTACATTATAATTCATAACAGAAAAAAATTTACAGTTATGTAGTAGTAACAAAAATAATGCTATGTTTGGGGGTCACTACAACATGAAGAAGTATTAAGGGGACGCAGGTAGGAAGGTTGGGAAATACTGGGCTAGAATCATGTGTGGCTTTGGAGGACATTTGGTTGAAGGGATGAGATTGGGAAGATACTGATTGCATGTTGTGGGATCTGGCAAAAGTATGATAACTGGGACTCTATGCATACCTGGAATGCATACATTGCTTGCGCAATGTGTGTCAGAATTGATAAAGGGAAGTTCACTTGGACTGCTCCCAGCTGCTGGGGCTGCGTTCTTCGAAGGGCAGAAAGTGTGCTGGCGGCCGGGGAAGGTTTTTACAAGGCACAGTGTGAACAGAGTGGTAGGAACCAGATCCCCCTTCCCTCTTCTTGTGCTTCCCCCTGCCTGTTTTTTGACAATGGAAGAGCTGGGGCTCCGGGAGGGCAGGACCTCCTCCCTCCCTCACAGCTGCATCTATCACTTGTTGCGCTGTCTCACGCATGTGTTCCCTTCATGAATTCTGACCCGTGGTGCACAACCAGCGTAGGGTCCCAGCTATCATACTTTTGCCTGGCATCCTGTTACACTAAATGGTTATAGTGCTATGATTCAACTTTAACTGCCCTGATGACATCCTATAGAATCCTGAGGCAAACAATTCAAGGCAAGGCACTTCAAATTCTCAGCCAGAAAGTTCTCAGCCTTAGTAAACATGGGATCCAGCCATGGCAATAAAAGTGGAGTAAAAGTGCTATAATAGTGTAGCATGATAATACCCTTAGTGTGAAAGGAGGCATCTCTGTCAACCTTTATAGCAAACATATCAGCTACCACCCCAGTTCCAAGTCTTGGCCCATTTAGGAAGAGGAGGCACGGCAAAATCAAACATTGCATAAGTCAGCATCGCAGCAGCTGCGCTTATAGGACACCTTGAAGGCGTTGTCCCGCTCCTCAGTCCTGTTGCAGAGCTCTGCGTATTTGCCACAGCCGTGTGTTTTGAAGAGCAATACTCTATCTGGAGGAAAGAAAACAGGAGGGGATGAGAAAAAACAATAAGAGTTAACCATAGCTATGTCATCTCACCACGGTTTGATTGGAAGAGTCTGTTCAGGCTTGCTGAAAATCAACTTGTTTGAAGCCTGCCTTAGATGCATAGGTGACTCTCTTGACAACAATGATACCTCATTCTTGAGGATTTGGCAGGAGGGTGTGTGAATGGCTTTCCTTGTGAAATTGTGTGTAATAGATGAGGTGATATTAAAGATCGGTCTCATCCCATCATGCTATTAGATGCAAAATTTAGAAACATTCCTTTTTGGGCCTTCCCACTGCTCCTCTGGAACGGATTTTCAGTGTTAGCAGACCGCTTTCAAATATGGAAGGAAGTAGAAGAAAAGAAAGCTGTGGTGATGTCTTTGGCATGCAAGGAACTGCTTTGCTCCTCACCCCCCTCCCCATTTTGTCCATGCTTTGGAAAAGAAGAAGAGGCTGGAGGTGATAAGATAGGTGACTGAAGGGATGGGGGAGTGGGTTCATTTCAGAAGCTCCTTAGCTTAACATTGGATATTTTCCCTATGTGACATCAATGATCAGAGATAATAAGGGGATGGGCCAGGCTTTATTACAGCTGGTAAATCACCAGCAGTGATAAGATCTACCAACTGAAAGGTTGCCAGTTTGAAGCCCCAGGTCTGTGTGAGCTCCTGACTGTCAGCCCAGCCTACTGTTTACCTAAGCAGTTCAAAAACAGCTTGAGCTGTAAGTAGAGGAACTGGGTACTACTAACACACATGGGGAAGGTATTTTCTAACACCATAAAGAATTCCATTGTCCATCTTGATTTTAAAAATCCAGGAAGCAAACTTTGATTTTGCCATTTTATATAAAGGGCAACATTTTATACACCACTGTGTATAATAGGACTTGAGCATCCATGTATGTTGGTATCTATGGGGATTCTAGACCTAAGACCCAGTGGATATCAAGGGCTCATTGTATTTGGTCTTACCTGAGTACACCTCGGTTGTCTCACATAGCTGGCCTTCTTTGGCTCTGCAGGGCTCATCCGACTTGAAACAGAGAGTACCAAGTTTATATTTGCAAACTCTGCACACAAGAGATTGAGCTGGAGGAAAGAAGAAAAAAAAAAACCCAGACAGACAGACAGTCAAAAATATATAATAAAATAATGGTTTTCTGTTTTTTTAAATACACACACAGACATATAGATGCCAACTTTTTCCCAAGGAACTGAAGCAGATGTGATGGTTCACTCAATCCCTTAAAGTTTCATCTTCACAACAACCCCGTTATGTAGATTACAGCGAATGAGACTGGCCCTTTATCAGCCAGCAAACCCAATGATGCAGCGTGGATCAGATCTGAACTAGAATATATGCCTGGCAAAAATCAAGTATGCTTACCAGTAGATAAGTATTACCCCATTTCTTCCTTTTTCTGTCACTGAATCAAGAAGACTTCTTTCTTTGCATCCAGACAAAATACAAACTTTAAAACCCCCCACAAAACTCTACTTCTTATTATATTTAATGCCAGTGGCTGTCTGGAGGCTTGTTTGCAGCATTTCTCAACCTGGGGGTTGAGACCCTGGGGGGGCATGAAGGGGTTTCAGAGGGGCCACCAAAGACCATTAGAAAACACATATTTCTGATGGTCTTAGGAACCCCTTTGGCAGAGAAGGCTGAAGATCTCTCCACCTGTCCTTCTCTTCCTTTTTGGGAGCAGATGGCAGATCTGTGATTGGCTGGCCTCTCAGCTGGACTATCAGCCAAGGAGAGGGCTGTTTCTGAGACCCCAAGCAAGGAGGGGAGAGCAGGCGTGGTCGGCACATGGCAGAGTGGTGCATGGGTGAGGAAGAGTGCATGAGGCTGGAGGGAGGCTTGCACCACCAAGTCCCTTCAAGGCGGGGGGAAAGCACCCATGCGATGTGGGACTGAGAGTGGTCCAGCAGCATTAGGAGGAGGAGCAGCAACAGAAGCAGCTTAGATAATTTGTAATCCGTCTTTTCTTTTGGTTTTTTGTTAATGCTGCCATTAGAAAATGCATACGGATGTAGGTGAACTACAACTCTCAAAATGGTGGGTCAAAAGCTTGGCCCAATTCTATCGTTGGTGGGGTTCAAGGAGCTCTTTGTTTGTAGGTGAACTATAAATCCCAGCAACTACAATTCCCAAATGTCAAGGTCTAGTTTTCCCAAACTCCACCAGTGTTCACATTTGGGCATATTGAGTATTTGTGCCAAGTTTGGTCCAGTGAATGAAAATGCATCCTCCATATCAAATTTTTACATTATGATTCATAACAATAGCAAAATTATAGTTATGAAGAAGCAACTGGTTGGGGGTCACCACAACATGAGGAACTGTATTAAGGGTCGCGGCATTAGGAAGGTCGAGAATCATTGATGTATTGTTTCTACAGTGATGTTCTGTGCTATTGCAGTCTTGGGCAGAGAACAGAAATATTTCAAAGAATGAATTATAAACAGGAGAGAAATATTTCTGGGACCAGCCTATGTGTAGTTTCTTTTGAGTCTACTTAATTTCAGTAATAACAAGAGAAAGAAGGAATTATTATTATTATTATTATTATCATTATTATTATTATTATTATTATGTCACCAACTCAACATAGGGCAAGACAGTCCATGCCAAGCATGGGCAAACTTTGGCCCAACGGGTGTTTTGGACTTCAGCCCCCACAATTCCTAACAGGTGGTAGGTCTATTCCCTTTTAGATAAGGTTCATCTCCATTTCCTCCAACTTATATCTGGGATCAGCTTTTTACATGGGTATTTTTAAAGTGTTCGCTTTCATAGAAAATCCGCCTTCTTAAAAGAAAAGAGAAGGATTCAACTCTGAAACTGCTCTAGGCATTGAAATGGTGCTGGGCCATATCCAACAGAGAGATTGTGTCATCTCTGCGGTCGATGGAAATGAATAATACTATGATTATACTAGGGCTGCAAATTTGGTGATGTTTTGCCAATGGAATGTTGTTTTCCTCCAGAATTCACAGTCCTTTGCCAATTATTACATGCCTATTCCAACATGCCCCAAGCAATTGCCATATTGCTTCATGCCACTCATAAGAGAAATAGATGTTAAATAACAATAGTAGATTTTAAGGTAAGAGATGAGTACTTCTTTCTATGGCACACAGGCTATGGAATTTGCTGCCACAAAGTAGACTAATGGATTTTTTAAAAAAAATACATTTTTTTATATTGTTGAATTTTGAGATGCACACTCCATAGATACAGAAGACTGATTGTACCAACATACGTAAGCAAAGCACCCTCTGTGAGGGGTGCTTTGAAGGCGATTTTCCTGCTTCTTGACAGGGAGTTGTACTGGATGGCCCATGAGGTCTCTTTCAACTCAATGAGTCTATGATTCTTTGAAACCACAGCCGTTCCCTGCCATGAGTTGCTGTGGCCCACTCTGGTGGTCATGGGGGTTCTGTGTGGGAGGTTTGGCCCAATTCTATCATTGGTGGGTTCAGAATGCTCTGTGATTGTAGGTGAACTATAAATCCCAGCAACTACAACTCCCAAATGTCAAGATTCTATTTTCCCCAAACTCCACCAGTGTTCACATTTGGGCATATTGAGTATTCGTGTAGAGTTTGGTCCAGATCCATCATTGTTTGAGTCCACAGTGATGTTTGGATGTAGGTGAACTACAACTCCAAAACCAAAGGACACTGCCCACCAAACCCTTCCAGTATTTTCTGTTGGTCATGGGAGAACTGTGTGCCAAGTTTGGTTCAATTCCATCATTGGTGGGGTTCAGAATGCTCTTTGATTGTAGGTGAACTATAAATCCCAGCAACTACAACTCCCAAATGACAAAATCAATTTTTTTGAGTGAAGGACATACATTGGGTTATTAGGTGTCTTGTGTCCAAATTTGGTGTCAATTCGTTCAGTGAGTTCTGTTAATCCCACAAACAAACATTACATTTTTATTTATATAGAAGATGTTGAAACAGGACCTTTAGCAGGTACCTATTCTATTGCTGGTCTTCCTTCTCCATGTGATAAACCTGCCCCCCATTATTGATGAGAAAACTAATCAATAGAGGCAGATTGCATCAAGATCCCATCACTTACATGTTATAATGGGACTATTTTGTTTCTGTTCTATTTTGGCCTTTTGGCAGTGGTCAGAATTTAAAGTTTTATTTGATTTTTTTTTTAAATTAAATGTAACTGGAATCACAAAATTTCTTTTTAAAACTATTAGTCAGTAGCCTTTATTTCGGTCAAGAAACCATCGGCTAAGTCAAGTGAAAGTAGAATTATGGAATACAACATTTAAGCCATTAATAACATCACATTTGGCTTATGATTAATGAAAACAAGTATCACCATTCGCTATCGGTTGAATAGCTGTCTTCATAATCTAAGGCAAGAACTGATTGCCAATTAGTAATAAGTCTCCTGAGTACTCTTTGTTACACTCTCAGCATTTATAGGTTATTCATGAAGCACTTGCGGCTTTTTGCCGCTGCAAACAGAAATTTGGCCACCTGTTCCGTTACCCTTTTGTCAAGATCAGACAGTAAATAAGTGCAGTACCAACTTAGGGATCTCCCTGGCCACTTGGTGAGTAGAGAGGATATTAACCTTAGTCTATCATCCTTGTAAATTGTGCAAATAAAAAGTACATGTATTGCAGTTTCGAAACAATATCATACGAAAGCTGACGGGCACAACCTGGGGATCACAACCAGATACAGTGAAAACATCCGCCCTTGCGCTATGCTACTCTGCTGCTGAGTATGTATGCCCAGTGCATACCACAATAAAACAGTGGATGTGGCTCTTAATGAGACATGCCGCATTATCACGGGGTGTCTGCGCCCTACACTGGAGAAATTACACTGCTTAGCCGGTATTGCACCACCTGACATCCGCCAGGAAGGAGCAGCCAATAGTGAAAGGACCAAGGCAGAGACATCTCCAGCTCATCCCTTGTTTGGGTATCAGCCAGCACACAATGACTTAAATCAAGAAATAGTTTTCTAAGATCTACAGAGACACTTGCTGGAACACCTTAGCAAAGCGAGAGTCCAAAAGTGGCAGGCTCAAACCCAGAACCTCAATCAATGGCTGATACCAAATGAGAGACTCCCCCCTGGGCACACAGAAAACTGGGTGACTTGGAAGGCACTGAACAGACTGCGCTCTGGCACCACGAGATGCAGAGCCAACCTCAGGAAATGGGGCAACAAAGTGGAATCCTCGACATGCGAGTGTGGAGAAAAGCAAACCACAGACCACCTGCTGCAATGCAACCTGAGCCCCGCCACATGCACAATGGAGGACCTTCTTGCAGCAACACCAGAGGCACTCCAAGTGGCCAGCTACTGGTCAAAGGACATTTAATCAACTACCAAGCTTGCAAACTCTGTTTCGGAGAAATGCCTCTAGAACATGGCCATATAGCCCGAAAAAACCCACAAGAACTTTCTGTTTCGTCTGTTTGTTAAAAATTTGTTTAAAATGTTACACAATTGTCTGGTGGCTACTGACACAATTAATAAATAAACAGTTTCGATTTCACCCTTCCCTCAAGGGCAAACTCTGTGTTCATATTCAGTCCCTTTGTATCTACCCTCTACTATGGCTGATTTTAGGGCATTAAACCTGGCCCAACGAAATTTTGGGATATTTAAATTTTCTAAATATTTGGCACCTCCCAAAGAATTAAATATTAGGCCTAAATTCAATTGAGAGCATGTGGAGATCATATTATAATTTGCAGGGCAGCAGAAGTGCAGGAGGGTTATAAGGGTATTCTGAAGTATGAGTGCAGGACCACAAATCAACAAAGTGACATAGCTGCGTGAAAGCAGAGACACAAGATAGCTAGGGTATTTAAGTTGGTATGTTGGTGTTATCAGTGATCACACAATTGTGATGAGAGGCTTTGTGTGATAAAATCTTGGATTTCAGAAACCACAACACAATTGTTTCAGAGCTGTTTTGCAACTTTATCATCTCTTGCTGCCTAATGCCTACAGCAGTTCTAGAGGGTTGTCTAGGCTGCTTCCTAGAAGCGCAGATCTTTTCTTTATGTCCGACGACTCTGGGTGTG